AGCAGGTTTTGGCCAATTTTCCAAGAGATGTAGAGCAAATAGGGATTGAATACTGATCCAGAAGCTGTCATTGAAGAGAGAGCAGTAAAGCATATTAAGATCTTTGGACGGAAAGTTCTATGTGTATTTCCTTAAAAAATTATTTTCATTTTAATTGATTATTAAGTATTACTGTAAATTTCATTAGTTATATTTAGTTAAATTTTATTTAGTTAATCTAAATCTTATTTTTGAGGGTCAGGCAAGAATATAAGATGTTTGTCTGAAGACGCATTTTCAGTATTTTACCTATGCTAAAGCCACTCTCTGTCCCTTGTCATTCTCTTGCTGGGAATGAAAATGAATAATCTGAAATGGCATGTGACACCACAATTTTGGTGGAAATTTCCCTTTTTTTTCCTGTATTAATATGTTGTGTTTCAAACCTCTCTTAATTATTTTTCCTTGTTTAAAGCTGGGGTTTGTTCCTTTGGAGGGATGATTTATTGTAAGTGGCTGTGAAAAGACATTAGGAGAGCAAATAGTCCTTTGGGAACAAAGAGTCACAACACAGAAAAACAGCTGTTGAGACTATAACAAAGAGTCTAGTGTGCCAACACGCAGCAACAATATTCAAGATAGGGGAAAAAAAGGCCTGCATCTTCATTTCGGAAAAAAACAGCAGAACAAAGATATAAACATCTGAAAAATTGGCAGATGGATCAGAGCTGTACAGAACACCAGAAGAGAAGGAGAAATTGCTGTGTGTGGGAGGGGGTGAAAATATAGAAGGTGCTTCTGCTATACCTTTGGAAATCAGAGTAAATCAGTACCATTGGAGAAAGCACAATGACAATTAAACTAGGTAGCTATGGAGCATTAAATTTATTGTGAAGATAAGCAGTGGGAGAACCAAATCATCCACTGATATAAATCAGACTCCTTGAAGTCAATGGTGCTAGAGTGGATTACTAACCCCATGATATGTGCTATGGTTCAGATAGTGACAACATTCTTCATACATATTTTGGATTATTTTGCGATATATAACACTATGCCAATAAAGTATTTTAGTGAAAAAGTCTGTTCCAGCTGATAATCAGGATAATCTATAGAGGCTCTTCTGTAAGCTGTAACCCATGGCTATAGCTCAGGTCACTGTCAGAAAACTCTGAAATGCATTAAAAAATGTACCTTTTGCTAGACTGAGTATTTGTAAGTTGCTTTTTGGCAACAACGTCTGACAGGAGAGGACAGTATCTCCCTCACCTTGGGATCATCCTAGACATGAAGGGTGCTAATCCATTTAAATAAGGTAAAAACAGGAGAAAACTTTAATGATAAGAAGTAGCATAATTTTTGACAATAAATACTTGGGGATCCTATAAGAAAATCTGAAGGGCTGGACTTTCTCTTTTTGGTGTAACCCCATTTTCTTATGGAGTAGACTGCAGCTGACCTTTAAAGAACTAGCCTTATTTCCAAAGAAGAATCTTGGTGGAGATGGGAGTCAGAACTGTGGGGCCAGCAGAACTAGGGAAGTGATTGTCCCCCTGTACTCAGCACTGGTGAGGCTGCACCTCAAATATTGTGTTCGGTTTTGGGCCCTTCACTACAAGAAAGACATTGAGGTGGTGCAGCGTGTCCAAAGAAGAGCAAAGTAGCTAGTGAGGGGTCTAGAACACAAGTCTCCTGAGGAGTGGCTGAGGGAACTGGGATTGTTTAGCCTAGAGAAAAGGAGGCTGAGGTGAGACCTTATTGTTCTGTACAACTACCTGAAAGGAGGTTGTAGTGAGGTGGGTGTTAGTCTCTTCTCCACAGTAATGAGTGATAGGACAAAAGGAAATAGTCTCAAGTTGTGCCAGAGGAGGTTAAGATTAGATATTAGGAAAAACTTCTTCACTGAAAGGGTTGTCAAGCATTGGAACAAGCTTCGCAGGGAAGTGGTTGAGTCCCCATCCATGGAGATATTTAAAAGATGTGTAGATATGGTGTTTAGGGACATGGTTTAGTGGTGGACCTGGCAGTGTTAGGTTAACGGTTGGACTCAATGATCTTAAAAGCCTTTTCCAACCTAAACAATTCTACGATTCTAAAAGAACAAGAGGAAGGGAGAGTGCTACTACCATAAACTCTCAGAAAATGGATGAATACACTGGGTGTCACAGTTAAATGCCACAAGTCCTTGGACCTGTTAGAATGGGTCCAGAGGTGGGCCACAAAAATGGTTGGAGGGCTAGAACACCTGTCCTATGAAGAAAAGCTGGGAGAGTTGGGGTTGTTCAGCATGGAGAAGAAAAGGCTTCAGAAAGACCTTATTGCAGCCTTTCAGTACTTAAAGGGGGCTTATAGGAAAGACACAGAAAGAGTTTTTACCAGGGTCTATAGTGATAGGACATGGGTATAATTGTTGGGTATAAAGAAGAGATTCTTTACTGTGAGGGTGGTGAGACACTGCAACAGGTTGCCCGGAGAAGTTGTGAATGCCTCATCCCTCAAAGTGTTCAAGGTCAGGCTGGATGGGGCTCTGAGTAACCTGATCCAGTGAAAGATGTCCCTGCTTATGGCAGGGAGGTTGGACCAGATGATCTTTAAAGGTCCTTTCCTACCAAAAGCATTCGGTGATTCTATGATTCTGTAATTCTAAGCCACAGGAGCTCCAAAGGTGTTTGAATTCATACCGAGCCCCGAACCAGATGTAACGCAGATGTCAGATAAGTTCCTTCCTTCCACCCCTCTGCTGACCTCCCTCAAGCA